CCCCCCCCCCCCCCCTCCCAAAAAAAAAATAAATAAATAAAATGAATTAACATCAAATATGTAAATATATAAAATACAACACGTGAAACATTGCGAACAATTGCGGCAGTTAGACGCCCAAAAGACAAAAAAAAAAAAAAAAACGGTTATTTGGCGTCGGAGCGCCGCACACAAAATATACAACATAAAACAAAATATTTGTATTCCCGGGTGGGAGGTGAAATGAAATGAATGAAAATAAAAATAAAAATAAAAATAAGAGACAAAAAATCAAAAGAATGCAGGATCCCACAAGCGAGGCAGGGTTACACATTTGATGGCAATAAGGCCCAGCAGAGAAAAGACGTCACCACCACCCGCCAGAAGAAGATCCACTTAACAAGAAGGTGGAGGAAAAAAAAAAAAAAAAAGAAGGAAAAAAAAACAACAGAAGGCATAAAATAAAATGATAATAAGATATATATTTCAGAGAATTAAGAAGAAAAAAAAAAATGTTAGATGCGGGGAAAATAAGTTATGAGGAGACAGAAGCTTTCAAGCCCAATTCGGACAAATATCAAGCCGTGGGGGCCGGTCAAGAAGCCTCAATACCGTTTTTTTACACTCACAGAGAGATATGTCAAGATTTCCTCGGCTCTTCCACCTCGGTCATCTCACCTCCAAGCGGCTCCACGGAATCCATTCTCAAAAGGCGGCGCTCGGCGACTACCATCCGTGAGAAGCGAGAATACATAAGGTGCACATATATAGTTGAGATCATGCCTGTCACGTTCAAGCCCAACATCACAAGCATTGGCATAAGGACGCAACTCTTTCCGTAGCACAAGATTTCACCGTGACGCTCCGCCTCCCGCGCATACCACTCACCGTATAGGAAACGGTTCAATATTATGGCGGCCAGCCACAAGGAGTTGAGTGCAAAATTATAGTGCTTCGCAGGGTCTTTTGCATAAATGGTGCGCACGACAAGGATAGAGACTGAAGCACAAAAACCATTCCCCAGAGCCGCAATAGCAAATGCCACCAACAACGCATTCACAGGTAATACAAGAAATAGCAGTAGTGAAAGTATAATGCACATAGTTGGTACAAAAAGAGAGATTGTAATGGGGATTCTGTCCTCGGCCTTGCGTTTCTGCGACCAGACCTCGAAGTAGCTCATCAGTAGCCGACCCGCCGCACTTCCCACCCCGTTCAGCACTGTGAGAAGTGCTCCCATGGCATCATCAACACGTTCCCCAGAAATAGCACCAAGAATGAAACGAGCATTGTATATTATCACAAACTCCGAGCCAACACCACAGAAAAAAGTCCAAAAAAAGGCCCATAATTTCAATGTGCAAATGCTTTGCATAAAAGTGGTCTGGTACTGTGGGGCAATGTAGTCAATATCCGTCTCCACTGGAGTCTTTAACCTTCCCTCCTCCAATGAAGTGCGTTTCTCCTCCTCCTTTCCCTCTGCATCGTCTCTGTTCGGCAGAGTGCCTTCCGTGCTTCTCGTCTCATCTTGCTTCCTTGGCTCTAATGCTCCCTCGTTATCCATTTGCTTCCGCTCAAGGTAACCGCATGGCACTGCCATAAGTGGAAGCATAAGAGTCATGACGGCTGCCACAATCGCAAAACTCAATTGGTACGTGCGATCAAGCTTTAGGTAGGCCACAAGAGCACTTTGCGTTGGTAGGTAAACTATAAGCACAAAGACAATCACAAGGCCATACAAAAAGCGCCAAAAAGGGGCCTTCTGACGCAGATAAACGGATTTGCGTGCCAGCCGTCGCTCTTTTTCCTCGGCGTCCAAGTGCCTCTGCTCATAGCCAGTCAAGTGGTACGACGGAAGTCGCACGACAGGAACCACCACCGAACAGACACAGAGCACAACGACAATTATAAAATAGAAGTAATGGTCCGGATGGCCATTGAAAAAGCCAAGGTAAAACGAGCCCAAGATGGCGGAGCCCAGTCCCAACAACGTCTTCAAGAACGCCACCACCCCACCACGGTTGGTCGGGAAAATACTCAGTAAAGTTAGCCCACACGCCATATCTAGAAGCTCGCTGCCAAGACTCAGCATGGCATTGTAAACACAAAAACGCACCGTCGACCCCTCGATATGGTCGCCAAATGAGAGACCAAAAAGCAAGGCGCCAGTCGCAAGAAGCACACACGCCAACACATAGATGGGGCGGGGACCAAAGTGGTCATATATGACGCCGTAAGGAAGAAGAAAAAAGCAAAAGACCATCCCTACCGTGTTGATTGCAGAAATGTCTCTTTGCCGAAAAGAATATTTTTGCTGCAAAGCGCCGCTAAATAAATTGAACGAGGCCGCAGTTGAAGCGCAGATAGCAGCAAATGAGCCAGCCACGAGAGCCGCAAAGCGCCGCCATTCAGTCAACGGCTTTTGACCCTCCACTGAGACCAGCTTCTCCACATATCCCTGTACAATATCCTCACTGTTTGCGGTAGTCGGCATCTCTCCTGCCTCCTTATTTAGTAGACAGTTTCCTCAATATTTTCTTTTATGCCCCCTTTTCTTTTCTGTTCTTGTTTCTGCACTCTTCTCACACCCGATTCCCCTTCCTCTTTTAAACTTATATTTCCCCTTCCATCACCCGCGTGGCAAATTAATGAAACAAAAAAGGAATATAAAAACACTCGCCATCGTCATAATAACAAAAAATCACGTAATCAACGCAAACAAAGTGTACTCCCTCGTGCACGCAGATGCATTACGCGGGTAGCTATAAACTACTCATGTAAGTAGTCGCATGAACTTCTCCATGGCTTCGTTCACATCGCACAACAAAGACTTCAGGCACGAGACAATCCCTCCAGAACTCAAGAAAAGATCATCCGCTCCCCACCTTCAAGCAGCCGTTGTCATCAGAGGAGTATTCTGTAGTCGGTGCACTCCCCTCACAAAAACAGTCCACGTCATCCCTCACAAACAATTCACTCAGGCCCACAAATCCCCGCCTTCTTGCTGCTCCTCAAAGAGGCGACGCCGCTCATCCAACACCTGACAATTAAATTTCACGTACTCCCAGTGCACATAGGCGTTGGATATGAAGGCCGTCACGTTGAATCCAAGCATCACAAGCAACGGGAGCTGCACACAAGCACGATCCAAACAAACATCAACACCCCGCCTTCTTGCCTCCCGCGTGTACCACTCGCCGTACAGAAGGCGGTTCAGGAAGATTGTAGAAAACAGTGATGCAAGGAAGCAGAAGTTGTAGTGCTTGGCGGGGTCCTTTGCAAAAACAGTCCGAGAAACCAACACAAGGGAAGCTGCACTGAAACCGTTGCCAATGGCAGCCAATACGTACGGCAGCGGCAGTGCAGCCCTGGGCACCACGAGGAATAAAACCAGCGACAGGATCATGCACGCATTAGCCAAATAGACAGAAACGATAATCGAAACCCTGTCCTCGGCCTTGCGTTTCTGCGACCAGACCTCGAAGTAGCTCATCAGTAGCCGACCCGCCGCACTTCCCACCCCGTTCAGCACTGTGAGAAGCGTTTTGATGGCGTTGTCCACCTCTTCGTCCGCAAGCGCGGCGTAGACGAAGCTGGCGTTGTAGATGATCACAAACGTAGTGCCCCCCATGGAGAAGATGCTCCAGAGGAAAGCCCACAACTTCAGCGTTTTCAGGTTCTGGAGAAAGGTCGTCTGGTACTGCGGCGCAATGTAGTCGACGTCCGTCTCCACCTTCTTCGGGGGACCACCAGCCACCGCAGGCTCGTTCGCCACCTCATCACCCGCGCTCGGTCTCTCCGTCCCACCGCAGTCATCCTCCTCCCGTTGTGTCTCCCTCCTCTCAAGGCACGAAACGGGCAATGCCATCAACGGAAGTGACACAAGGACAGCAATCAAGATGGACGCAAATATGATGCGCTGCGTCCTCCCCCACCCCAGATACGCAACCAGTGCGCTCTGCAGTGGCAAGTATATAACCAGCAGGACAACAAACGCAATGCCGATCGCGAAGCGAATTGTGGGTGGTTGCTGGCGGAGGTAAACGGATTTGCGTGCCAGTCGTCTCTCCTTTTCCTCGATGCCAAGGTGTTTCTCCTCATAGCCAGTCAGGTGGTACGACGGGAGTGGCACAAGGAAGAAACCCGCAGCTCCAGTCACAAAAAACAGCACCATCAGAAAATAGAAGTAGTGGTCCGGCCTCCCGTCAAAAAAGGCCAGCTGGATGCTTCCCACAATGGCGGAGCCCAGTCCGGTGTACGACTTCAAAACGGCCACGACAGGGCCCCTGCTGTTCGGGAAATGGCTCATGATCGTCATCATGTATACTACGTCATACAGCGTGCATCCGAGTGTCAGCATGCCGTTGAAAACGCTTAGACGCACCACAGAGCCCTCAATTGTGCCGCGAAATGACAGCGCAAACAGCAGCGCCCCGAGCGGAAACAGCACCATGCTCAGTATGAAAATCGGTTTGGGACCAAAGTGATCAAAAATGAAGCCATGTGGCATAACAAGGTAGCCGCACGCTGGGCCAGCCATACAGGTGGTTGAGGCACCGCCATGGTCCAGCTCATTAACGGCTCCGTGTCTATCCAGCAAGGAGGTAAATGCCAACGAGGATAGCTGCACAGGTGCTGACAGTCATGCCCAGCCAAACACGAGGAGGCGCCGGGGTTGAATTATGCGCCACCGCGGTTCCATGGCCAGCCGCCCAACGCGGGGCGCATCCACGGCATCCACACTCACCTCTTCCAGAGGTTCTTCCGCGTCGCAGAGAAGATCGCGGAACAAATGCGTATAAATATGTGTCTATGTCTCCGCCTCGACCGATCGACCGCTACAAACCCTTCGCCTCCCAAAAGAAATGAATTCAAATAATTAAAAAACAGCAAGCATGAAGACACCAAGAAAGAATGACGCAGCAGGGAGTGTGAGGCATGTCAGTTGCGGTAAATGTTAGCAAGAGCCCTGCATGGACAGTCATTATAAACCCCATTTCCCAAATCCCCAAAAAAAGCGTTAGTCCGTGAAAAAAAAAGGCTTCTCGCTCCTCCTGCATCAGTCTTCCGTCATGCTTCGCAAACAATTCATGGTCCCCTGCCTCACTCCGGCATGGGCTCCGCATGCGTGACAAGCGAGGGGCACACCGGCTAGGCTCGCCTCCTCCCTCGCACAAACAGCGGAGGTAAGAGAGACAACAAATCCCCACAAACATCGTCCCAAATGTGAAGCAAGCGCATGGCAGGCAGCCGGACAAGAGACAAGAAACAGAATAACTAATGGAGGACAGCGGAATTATTTTTCGTTGACAGCCTCTCGGCAGAAAATATAAAAAACAACGCACTGAAATTGAGGCCAGCAGGAAAAAATAAATAAAACGAGAAAAAAGGAGTGCACTGAGAGGCCTCCGTTTTGGTCAATGATTGCATGAGATCCTCTTGCCCCTTTCGCGGGATCTCATTTTGTGTTTTTCTTCATGAGAATCGCACTCAAACAAAACACACGTACGCCCAGAAAGGAAGAAAAGAAGAAAATGAAATTCACAATTCAGCCATCAAGGACCGAGGGAAAAAAAGTAAAGAAAAAACACTAAGAAAAACATTAAAAAACAGAATGGAATAAGTTACCTTATTATCACCACATCCTTCGTTCGGTCCGCGTGCACACCGCCCCGCAATGCTCCGTCACCGTCCCTGGAGACTCACGCGCGGAAAAAAGTGACGCCCGCCAAAGAAAAAAAAAAGAATCAACAATGAAAAAGCCAAAACACACACGCAACCAACCAGCATACGATGAAATATACATAAATCAAACATATAATCAAAAATAAATAAAATAACGGCACGGCAATACAAAAAAAATTATGGACATGCCACCTTCATGTCGTTGGCCGGCGTCGTTGTTCGGTTGCCGGCATCCTCTTCCTCTGCCCTCTCCTTCAGACGGCGCCGCTCCTCAAGCACCAATCGACCGAATCGGCGGTACTCCCAGTCAAAATAGGCAGCAGAAAGAAACGCGGTGAAGCTGAGAACAATCAAAAATATCAGGGGCATCATCACACAATTCCGGCCAAGGCAAACATTGCCGCCCTGCTTCTCAGCCTCACGCGTGTACCACTCGCCGTACAGAAGGCGGTTCAGGAAGATTGTAGAAAACAGTGATGCAAGGAAGCAGAAGTTGTAGTGCTTGGCGGGGTCCTTTGCAAAAACAGTCCGAGAAACCAACACAAGGGAAGCTGCACTGAAACCGTTGCCAATGGCAGCCAATACGTACGGCAGCGGCAGTGCAGCCCTGGGCACCACGAGGAATAAAACTGGTGACAGGATCACGAACACATCAGCAAAATAGATAGAAACGATAATCGAAACCCTGTCCTCGGCCTTGCGTTTCTGCGACCAGACCTCGAAGTAGCTCATCAGTAGCCGACCCGCCGCACTTCCCGCACCGTTCAGCACTGTGAGAAGCGTTTTGATGGCGTTGTCCACCTCTTCGTCCGCAAGCGCGGCGTAGACGAAGCTGGCGTTGTAGATGATCACAAACGTAGTGCCCCCCATGGAGAAGATGCTCCAGAGGAAAGCCCACAACTTCAGCGTTTTCAGGTTCTGGAGAAAGGTCGTCTGGTACTGCGGCGCAATGTAGTCGACGTCCGTCTCCACCTTCTTCGGGGGACCACCAGCCACCGCAGGCTCGTTCGCCACCTCATCACCCGCGCTCGGTCTCTCCGTCCCACCGCAGTCACCCTCCTCCCGTTGTGTCTCCCTCCTCTCAAGGCACGAAACGGGCAATGCCATCAACGGAAGTGACACAAGGACAGCAATCAAGATGGACGCAAATATGATGCGCCGCGTCCTCCCCCACCCCAGATACGCAACCAGTGCGCTCTGCAGTGGCAAGTATATAACCAGCAGGACAACAAACGCAATGCCGATCGCGAAGCGAATTGTGGGTGGTTGCTGGCGGAGGTAAACGGATTTGCGTGCCAGTCGTCTCTCCTTTTCCTCGATGCCAAGGTGTTTCTCCTCATAGCCAGTCAGGTGGTACGACGGGAGTGGCACAAGGAAGAAACCCGCAGCTCCAGTCACAAAAAACAGCACCATCAGAAAATAGAAGTAGTGGTCCGGCCTCCCGTCAAAAAAGGCCAGCTGGATGCTTCCCACAATGGCGGAGCCCAGTCCGATGTACGACTTCAAAACGGCCACGACAGGGCCCCTGCTGTTCGGGAAATGGCTCATGATCGTCATCATGTATACTACGTCATACAGCGTGCATCCGAGTGTCAGCATGCCGTTGAAAACGCTTAGACGCACCACAGAGCCCTCAATTGTGCCGCGAAATGACAGCGCAAACAGCAGCGCCCCGAGCGGAAACAGCACCATGCTCAGTATGAAAATCGGTTTGGGACCAAAGTGATCAAAAATGAAGCCATGTGGCATAACAAGGTAGCCGCACGCTGGGCCAGCCATACAGGTGGCTGAGGCACCGCCATGGTCCAG